TGGGACTGCAGTCGGCTAGCCTTCGTACTTTGTGTTGTTGGCGATGCCTGTCACATGGGTTCATCGGGGACGTTTTCTTTAAGCCCAACAGTCTCAACTCCAGAACCATACTGCTTCGGCTTCTTGTGAGACCAATTCACGAGTCCCCTTGAATCAATTTTTCCTTCGAAGTGAAAATTCCTGTCACATGCTATCTTGGACAAGTTTTAACTTCCAGCCTCGGCCATATACCTCCTTCCAAAGGCATAGACGGCGCTACACACCTGACAAGAGACTTTCTGACTTTCCCTTTTGTTATTCGTTTTCTTTCAGCGTTGCACACTGCTCAGCTTTTTTGTGCCTCGGAACAACACCCAATCGAACTGCCCACCAGTACTCTGAGTGAAGGTCACATTTCGCTCGGTCTCGTCTTTCACCCTTCACTGTCATAGATATGTGCACATGCACACACTCATGCACATGCACACGTGCAATCAAATGTATGCGTATCTGAGGCGGGTGATACCGCAGCCATAGGGATTGTAAAACGATTATTTAATATCGCTTTTGTTTTGAAAAAAGCCAATACAAGAACCTCCGATTCGGCATGATTAACTAACCAGACTTGCATGGTGTCGATTCGCAGCCCAGCAAGACAACTCGGACCGCATGTTAACCGGAGCCCAAGCAGTGGACTAACGTCGAGCAGGCTTCAGATAACCTTCAGTCACTTGCTTGTGTCCATTCTTCTTTTGCTTAATCCACGTATTCCTCCTAAATTTGTTCTATCTTTTGGCCTTTTTTTGCCTACCCTCTAAGTCGATCTCATTTTGTCTCTTTTCTCATCTCCTAACCTCGCTCTACTCCCTCAACTGTGCCAGAAGGACTCCATAAAATGACTCATCCTTTCTGACACTGAGTCCAGTATTTGTGTCATGACCGGCCCTTCGCTTTTTTCCAGGGCCAGACGTATCCTGTGATGTCGGCTTTCTTCCGGCTCTGCCAGTCGTAGAGGCAAGAGGGCCCAATATGATCTGTTTAAAAGCAAAATAAAGCGGTGACACTAACACGGGGTTTGTTGTGGTTTGTGCCTATTTTCGACTTGCAAAGAGTTAAACTTGCCCCTTATTCGTTCACTTTTCGCTTGAATTGTATCACGTCTCACGCCCTATTCGTACGTTAAACGCATGGTTATCGAGATTTCTTTTATATTGCTGTTATTAGCACTGCTAAAAATAATGGAATGAAGATGAGCTAGCACAAGTACAAGTATCCCACAAAAAATGATTCTGCCAGGGTCGTTCTAGATAATGCAATGATTGACAATTGATTTCTCTGTCAAGATATACTGAATGTTTCTAGTTCTATTCATTCGATATATTCCATTTTTCCATTATACCTTCACTCGAAAGGATGATCTATCTATTAATTACAACAATTTATCAATACGAAAAGTAACTGGGTTTCGATTAATCTCTGAGATAACATCGTTGGGTGGACTTTCGTTTCGTATGAAAGTGCATGAAGAATAGATTCGTAGGTCGATCTAATCAGAAGAGGACGGATGAATCCCATTGTACTGCAACCGTTTGGTTTTTATACGACGTTCAGGTTCACGC